GCCCGATCGACGATTTATATATTGCCTCTCTCGCGTGCCCGGCATTTTCGGGTTTATGCCCTTTTGAGATTGATGCCGCGTGCGATCATCGATTCGATACGATTACTTAATAAAATACTCTTGTGTAGACTGCGCATTAAACGTGCGCTTTATAACGGTTTGAAACGCGAACAATATACATTTTTGATCTTTAACTACGATCTGACCTTTAGCATGTTTTTTTTACCAGCGCGGGGCTGCTACATACACAACGATAAACTAAAAAATATTTTTAGAGTTTTGAATCGTTTTAACTGTTCTATTTATCACCAATGGCTATTAAGGACAATAATTAAGACAGAGATTTGTACCACCCAATACCGAAGTACATATTTTAGTTTACGTAAGCAATTTTAAGTTTTCTTCTAATAATTAGGTAAGATGGGGATACAAGTCGTTACCACATAAGAATAAAAACCGGTTTTGAACAGTCATAAAGAACTTTAGCAAGGAAAGATATGGAATAAGTTTATTTTATTTACTTGTGTCTCTATCATTGTAGTTTTTAACTTTCATAAAGTCAAAACCTCCACCCACCTCCAACTCCCGACAACTTTTATGGGGTTAAAAAGAAAATAAATTGAATTCAATTTATTTTGATTTTTAAATATATACTGCCTTCAATAACATGTAAAAAAATAATAAAGTTTTAAATTTCATAAAGTTTATAAATTATTAGATTAACGTTAAATCATCAATAAATTTAGTCTTACTACTTACTACTAACAACTTACGATAGATAAAGAAATAAAGATTATTGAAGTTAATTTCCTCTAATTGTATTACTGGAATGCAGAGCAGCAATTACATACAATCGTTGCAATAAAGATTCCTTATCATCGAAACAACGAAGTTGATTGTCGGGTCATCAAAACTATATAGATTTTATGGCTTGACTATTATTATTATATGACGACTATATACTATAATAAAGCAATAGAAAGAGTAAATAAGTATATAAAGTTAAGTTAACAATTACGTATAAGTAACAATATTTTAGTTGGTGTTGGTATAGAAATAGATAAGGAGAGAATAAATGAAACTGATACTTCAAATTGATATCATCTGTAAGTCTGTCTCATATTAGTTTGGTGCCAATAAAAATTTTGTATTACTAATATGAAAAACGAGAAATAAGTTAGTCAGTTATTAGTAAAGATTTCGTGTCTTCGAACAATCAATATTTAATCAATATTTACCACTTTCCCGAAAAATTGCAAGATGGTTAATGAAATTGTGTTTAATTATTTCCTATAATTAACATAATACACATTAAAATGATACACTGTAAACGATTTTTATACATCTCCAGTTCCCCCCTGACCACAGCTGCTGCAAGGCATCAGAAATTTGTTTTTTATCAACGAATACATACGTATTATATTTATAAACATACTTGATAGATATTTATATGTCATAATGTACGTTGTCACAAAATATAAATCCTCCAATTGGAGAACGTTTTACGATGCAATAAACTATTTTGTCTTTCAGCTGAACATATACTATACTTTTAAATAAAACCCTTTAACGGTTTAAAACGCGATATATTAGTTAAACTTATTTAAGTCGTAGTCACGGGGAGACTGAACTTCCCCAGTCTCCACGTGACCACGGCTGCTGCAAAGCATCCGAAAGGTCAGGTCGAAGTTAAAAACATTTTCAAATAAGTTTAACAAATATATATCGCGTTTTAAATCGTTAAAGTGTTTTATTTAAATGTGTACTACTCGCGTATATTCTATACTATGTACCAACTTACTTTTGTACTTATTTCTTGGTAAAATAGAAATGGTGGTAACTTTTCAGTCCCTTTTTAGAATCCCCAGACTTAAAAAACATCATGAAATACCCATATATCTAAACTAACATATTTCACAATTAAAACCGTTAAAAGTGTTTTATTAACGCGTAAACTACAAACAGTACTCAATACTTCTACTATTCAAGCTATTGTTGGTTTAGTTTCGAAGGCTTTCGTGTCACTAAAAAAGACATCAACGGAGTTACATCTGGCTCAAATCTATTCTTATATGAAACTCTAAGACCCAACAAAAATGAGAGTTTATTTAATATTGATCGCTTCTGTAGCTAAGTGTTTGAACGTGTCGCCTAGCATTGCGTTAAGCGCGAGAGGTCTTGAGTTCACAACCCGGTGTAACAGTAAATTCGGGTCAAACAGAGGTTTGATCACCTAATTATCTGTAACTGAATTCTATCAGTGAAACGGACACAGAAATGTGTTCGCCCCATGTAACGAACCCCGTTCCCCCCCGAGGGGAAACGGGGTTTCACACATTTATTGCCTTCTTTCCCTAAACTTTTAAAAGTTTGAGAAAGAACTGTCGTGCTCCTAAGTGCAAAACAAAGGAGAAAATTATGTTAAATCAAGATAAAGTTACATCTAGAGATGAGTTTCATCTAATCAATTACAGAGCACTTTCACTATTGTACATTTTTCCGAGTTTTTACGATGCGTTGTCTATACTATGACGTCGTGTGGGAACGATTCATCTAGTCTGTAAAAACAGTAGCGACATGCCACTTCTATATAATTCTTCAATTACATTATTATGTTCTGAGTTTCGTAATCAAAATAAATGTAGACTGAATGTAACTTAGGAAACACGAATTTTTATTTGGGATAGAGACCTACAGACAAGCGTGACCCGTATAACATCTTACCATGATGCTTATCGACCTATTTTGGCATTGGATATTCTGAAATCCACAGACTAAACGCAAATCCATCACCCCATTTACTATCCAGGGATTTAGATGTAGACCAATATGTTTGAGTAAAAATTATAAATTTGAAAAGTGTATTATACTAATAAAATTTAACTGAGCCCCAACGTTTCGGATCACGTCAGTCTGAAGTTAAAATAAATAAATGTAAGTTTCCCAATATATTTTGCGTTTTAAACCGTTAAAAGTGTTTTATTCAATTGTGGAATACTCGCGTAAACTATATGTATGTTATGATATATTTATTTCTATGTATAAAAAACGAAGATTATTTTTCAAGCCCCTTCAATACTTCTGTACAGTACCAATGTATAACTGTTGTAAAAAGATGGCAATGGAGACAGGATATTATAAGCGTTAATCGGGAGTCAAATGAGAATTCGTGACAGCGTGATAAGTGCTAAAGCTTAATGTCAGGCGCGCGCGCAGCTTTTGACAGGTAAATTCAACACTCATTTGACCTGCTTATACAGTTTCGTGTTTACTTAAACAATCGTATCGACGGAGCTATTACAGAATGCACTGAACTTTAATATTCTTCACTTGTTATTTAAAAAGCGAAAATAAATTAAAAAAAAATCGACTCGGGCACGACTCGAACCGGCATCGTCAGCGTTCCGTGCTGTTGCTCTATCAACTGAGCTACCGAGTCCTACACCTCATCGTCAATTTTTTTCAATGTATTTTGGCTTTGGATATTCGGAAATCCACAGACTGAAACCGAAACGCGATTCAGTTTGACGGCTTTTTCATCTCTCGACCGTGGTTTGATACCTGAACAAAATTTCGATATTCCTACGATCCTAATACAGACTCGCTCTCGAATAATATTTGAGTGTTGATAATGGAGAGGTCATTAGCCAGACTTGCTATGATAATCATTTAGGCAATAAGTCAACAGGTGTTTCAAATCTCACCTAACAACATAGAATTAATAATTAACATATTAATACAATAGGTTGAAAAAATGGCGTGTAGGACACGGTAGCTCATAGGTTTAGAGCAAGAGCACAGAACGCTGAGGATGCCGGATCAAGTCCTGCGGCTGTCGTGAAATTTAAAATCGATTTTTTTAGAAATACACTCTTTTCGTAGTCTAATTACTATTAATATAAAGTATGTCCCGTTACCACTATGTGGGACATGGGACAGACACGTTAATGTGTCTGTTTTACCTATTATATATATTATTTTTCTTTAAAAACACTTTACAATAAACGGGGAGGTCCCCGTGAGGGCAAAGCATCCGAAACGTCAGGCCGTTGTTAAAATAACTTTCAAATAAGTTTAACTAATATATATCGCGTTGTAAACCGTTTAAATATCTGATTTAAATGTGTACTACTCGCGTAAACTACAGACGATTTTTATTTACCAAAAGGCTCACGGTTTGGTTTTTTTAAAACCATAAAATTCTATATGGGGTTCGTGACCCGGAAGAGATTTCGAAATTACAGCCAAAAACTTCCACACAATATGCAACATTGTCAAACAATTAAAGAAGATTTGATGATATTTTGTACTCTTACTATCATTGGAGCAACCTTATTACCAATTTAAATTTTCAGTATTTTAAATTACTGATGACCATTACAAAGTAAAAACATAGCGCTGCAACCAAACTAGCGAGACAAGAAATGAACTTCAGCACACCTTTGCAAAAACCGGTCAAAACTTCAATTTATATTGATAATATAGTTGGTTTGATGTCACAAGATGTTGAACAAACATTTCTTTAATATATATTGTATATAATATAAATAAACATATTTTATAGCACCGCAAATGTCGGATCGTAGTTAAAAAAAATAATGAACTGGTATATTTCGCGTCTTAAACCGTTAAAACGATAGACAATCGAAGCGATAAATGAATTGGGTACGAAAACAAAAGTTTAAATTGAGAATAACGAATTTAATAATATCAGTTGAATATCCCCTCTTCGTCGAGGCGAATAGTTTAGTTAGAATTCAAATAAAACACTTTCAACGGTTTAAAACGCGAAATGTATTAGTTAATACAAGTGCAGTTTATTTTAACTGCAGCCCGACGTTTTGGATGCTTTACAGCAGCCGTGGTCACGGGGGGCTGGATATTGTTGACGGCGGTTTGTCAGTAACGAAACACTGTCGCAATCGCGGAATAAATCAACTCTCTATGAAATTTTCACCTTCCACCGCACTCCCCCCACATAGCACGAATTCTCACGTTACCTAGCCATCCATCCCAGTGCAGGTCACTCGCGCTATGGCCGCGGGTCGTCACCTCGACGACGGGACGCGTTAGCCGCGACTACACGACTACTCCGACATTCTGTTTGAGCTCGTGCCGACCGGCCCTGTACAGGCGCGCACGAAAGGATCAGCCCTTCAAGGATAGCTGCTTTTGCGCAGCTTAGACAAAAAGCCGCTTTTGCTATTTGCGATGATGTCTTGAACTTTAAATTCACGTTTTATCAACTTAGCAAATGACGGTATATAAAGGGTTGAATGTACAAATTGGAAATAGGTCGTCTTGCATCTTGTGTATTTCACCATTCATCAAGTGAACGAACATGGGGTATGTTTGTTTTTCTCCTGTCATAAAAAAAACTGAAGATTTAATAAAAAAATCCCATCATTCGTGTTTATGATTTCATTCAGTATTTAAGTCTCATTACCAGCACATAGATGATAAATTTATTTATGAATAATCTACAGCCACGTGGGTGTACGATATACGTACGCGATTGTACATGCGCGCGCGCAGCCTCCGGTCGTCGCTCGCAACCAGTCGGACCGCATGCGTCCCCCGCGCACCGCAGCTCTACAACTTAAAATGCACCTTATTACTATGTTATACAAATCAAATTGCAAGGTACGAGACGACTCAACTATTGGGACATATAGGCTTCTTAGCATATTTGTGTCCACATTCCATACTAGACCGTAGTGGGCAGAGTTAGGTACGATTTTGAGAGGACCACCTTTGGAATGCACCTTAGCTACCGTGGAACGCATTGCGACTAAGTACGGACGGTTTAATTCGATCACTGGAACACGTGGGGTTTTGGAATTTGATCGAAAAATTGGGTTGGAAATAACCGGCCAATAGTTACCTGCTTTAGATTTGGAATTCCAAATCGTTACTCCAATAGAAGTATTCTAGTTCAAAAAACAAGTTTTTGACTGGCTTATTGGTCTTGTGGCAGTATTGTATGGGTTGTCGGTTCGAGGCCCGCCACTTCAAGTTTTATAATGTACTAGTTGTGCCAGCGACTTCGTCCGCGAGAATCGTTATTTTGGGCATCCAAATTAGGTTTTGCATGTTATCTTTATAAACTTAAGCTGTTGGCCATGACGTCGATCGCGCTCCTTCCCGTTGTTCTTGCAAGTTAATAAGAGTTAGACATATAACGTCGCGGACTTTATTTTAGATCGTTCAAAGGGGAATCATTCTTTCATACATATTTTTTAGGTGTCTTGAATCGATTTCGCAGCGTACGCATCGGAAATCCACAGAGATGATAAATTTCCCCCGTTTTGTTCACATTTCCCGCTACATCTTCGCTTCTATTAGTCTCAGCGCAATGTTTTATAACCTATAGCCTTCCTCGATAAATAATCTAACCAACACAAAAATATTTTTTTCAATTCGAACCTGAGCGCGTTCAAACAAATAACATACTCTACAGCTTTATATATTAATTATAGATTGGTGATCGTTCTATACATACTAGTATATAGGTAATTAAAAATGAGAAATATAGAAATTTCGCCCGCCTTCAAAATACATAGTTGAACAAGCAAAGAAATGCAAGAAAATAATCTAAATAAAATGTACCTACTACACATTTGGGTTTTAATCTGTAGTTTTTCAAAGTGTAAAGCCAAAATAGGTCGATGTCGCATTCTTATTGGATACTAGCTGTGTCAGTAACTTCTTCCGCGTAGAATAGTTGATTTTGGCATTTAAATTTGTTTTTGTAAGCCTTTTTTTCAAAACCTCTAAACAACACAGAAAAAATATCAAACCAGTAGTTCCTGGGATAAGCGCCTTCAAAGAAATAAATAAACTCTTCAGCTTTATATATTAGTATAGGTTACGTCTCTCATAAAATTTTAGCTTACCCCATGTATTTTTCTAGGTTGGGTGAAATGTTTTATATCTAAGCATTATTAAGTAACATTTGAAAGGAAAATATGTAAACCAATGAGTTGAAATGAATTGTAATATATTTTTTTAAATAAGAGCTATTCAAATTAAAAACATATTTAAGATTTTAAAAAATCTATGTCCGGGGCGGGACTTTTACGAAACAAAAACCAACTGAAGTTCGTCATATTCTTTGGCGTTTCATTTTATTATCCTTATAAACCCTTCGGTTGCTTTGAAGAAATAGCCATAGACGATAAGGCCGCCTTTTCACTTAGCATTTTATTCATAATAAGTTATTTTATATTAAAACTTTTTAAACGATTGAAAAAAACGTAACAAGTTAACTTATTTTAACTACGACACGGTCGTGGCTAAGTTAGCTAATAGATTTCACGTTCAAAACAGTTTTATTTAAATGTGTACTAGGTTACAGAGTTCTAGCGCTCGGGTGTTGTTTTTCTTGATTTGTGCCAATAAAGTAGTTTATTATAAATTTTATCCCAGGTAAACAAAACTGTTTCGGTCAGGCAGGGCACAAAAGTCTGATCCACTACGTGCCTGTTAATGAACGGATCAGTAAAACGGACAGAAAAATGTGTTCGCCCCATGCCCCACAGAGGGACGGGATTACTATTGTTTTAAGTCAATACTTCAAAAATAACGTCTAAATCGTTATTATGAATCAAAATACTTCATTACCGTGATCAGTGGACACTAACCTTAAATATCTGTATTGATAAGGATTTTTTGCGATGTTGATGACTATTAATAGTTAAGTATCAGTAATAAGCAGCAAGAGTGGAAACCAGTAAATTAATATGACTTCCTGTCTCTAGGACGTGTATAATGATAGAATCATGATACTGGTCTATGTTACATAATTGGCTACGTAATTAAAAATGCCTCCTTACTAAGAACTTTTAATATTGAATATGTTCGTAATTACTGTCTGTAGTGTTATGTACCCACTTTTAACGGTTTAAAGCGCGAAAAAAAGACATATCGTACTGTAAAAGATAAATTGCAAATAAGAAAACTAATATTTTTCGTGTTTGAAACCGTTAAAAGTGTTTTTAAATTCATATTCTAGCTAATAAAAACAGCTCCAATTTTAACTTCCAAGTATAAATATAATCAAATATTTTTTTCTTTTTTTTTGGCCCCGTTTTTTTTTTTGCAGACAATTTTTTTTGCCCCATAACGGGGCATATCGGCCCATTTCCGTACGTTTAATTAATTTTATCAGCGATCAAATAAACCTGCTAAAGATAAGACCATTAAAATTGGTTTAATTAAATGTGCACTCACGTTAACTACATTCCACCCACACCTAATTGAAATAGTTCTAAGAAAACTTTTGATACAAAACCAGAGTTGGGTTACAATTGTGGTCCACCCCCCCGCGCGAGTTGTAGACAACTCTCCCCCCCCCATTAGTTACAGCACACCAAACCGAAATTGAACTGGGTTGCCAGTGGGTCGTGGGTCAGTTTCAAAGTAATTTCCATACAAATGGCTGTATTTAAACCTCTTCAACAATATTCAAAGTTAGACAGGATAATATTTCATGGTACTCATGTATACAGAAGCTGATATCAAGGAGGTGGGATTTCAAGAGAAACTACTCAACTCCACTCAACTAATGACTCAACACGAGGCCTTCGTTCAGAGTTCCTAACAGAGAACAATAATGAAGCATATGAGGCTGCTAGAGACAGAGTAGCCTAATAACAATAAACATGATTTTCACTAAGTAGGAGTACTATTCTTTGTGTGTAACAATTTTCGGTCACTGTGCTCTCGTAGATTAAAATTAACTATAAAAATATAAATAACCCAAATCTTAAATTGCAGTTAGGCTACTCTGTCTCTAGCGACGTTATAATCGTCATATGAATAAAAGTCGTAAGTAATATTGAATAGTGTATTTGGAACAATTCGCCTCACCGGATATTATAACTTAGCAGTCAACTGTCACAAATACAAAATATATAATAACTTATGGTTGTTTATCATAATTATTGCATCCTTCGCCAATCACGCGCAGAAAACCAGGGACTGATAAGTGTGATTGTTTTATTGGCGTCTATAAACTTTCAATACATCAAACACATTGATTACTTTGATTATAGACATTGATGTCATCAATTTATTTAACGTAAGGCTCACCATTTTTCACGGGATTCGAAGTTACTACTCGCATGTCTTTATTTATACGTTACTTAAATCGTTATATTGAATTTCTTCTCTAATGTGCGTGAATTATTCAAATAACTGTAAAATCAGTCCCCGATCTCTTTTTCCTCATTCGTTTACCTACTAATACATCGCCGTTCGTGTTACATGATCATACACATTCTACCCTCACACTGTGTAATTAAAATAAATACATCAATACTTTTCAATTAGAATTTAAAATTGAGTTTTAATTGTATTAAACCATTTGATCATTAATCATAAACGAATCTAGCAGATCATAAAATATTGTTAAGCTTACCAGGAATCATTTGGATTATCATTTCCATCGTTTGTCCAGGATAAATAAAAAACCGACTTATAACTTACTATACAGAATAGTAGCTTATACCGTCAATGAACAGACAAATAAATATAGTAAAGCTGAACAGCGACGCTAAGTACTTAACCTAGTGGCGGTAAATATGACTACATCACTGCATACCTCCATACTGCCTCGCGACCCAAACAACTCAGTTCAAATACTGTAACAAAATATAATAGTGTTACTCCATATCTCTAGATTTTAGGAAACTATACTTTTTTACCATTTCGGTCAGTCATGGATTTTATATAATAATATCTACGGTCCGGTGGATTGGCCAATGAAGTAGTCACCACAGTGGTCGTACCCCATGGGCTATTGCCCAAATCCTTTACAGTATACTACTCTATATTGTTGTAAGGTCTTGTAAACACATATTAAGTAAAAATTTTCTAGAAGTTAACTTCTAGCATAAACAAATAGATTTTCCGGAGTCATAGAGAGTAGAATCTTAATTCCCTTAGAACCCGTTGCAGACAGGCAGGCAGTAATTTTTGTTTTTTTTTTATTAGTAAATATTGATTTTACAAAATAATTTTTATTCTAGACAAATAAACCTATTTTTCATGCTTAACTTAATACTAAATTATAATAAATAAATAAATAATACCTATTGTTATTTCCTCGCCTGCAATGCATTGGATAGCCAGTCCATAGCTTGATCCAAACCTTCTCCTCTCACAGCTGAAGTTTTGAAAATTTGGAAAGTTCTGTCCCGCAACGCATCCAAGCCCAAAGCTTGATGCACTTCGGCGACTGTCAGACAACCAGCCATATCTTGTTTGTTTGCTAGTACCACCAAAATTGCATTTGATAATTCATCTTCCTGAAATTTGTGAAAAAAGTACTTTATTGATCCTCCATTCTATATTATTATTTATGTCTGCTAAAAGAAAAGTTACTAATCTAGATAGTCTGGTAGAACATAAGTGCCTATAAGAGAAAGTAGAAACCATTAGTCATATTTGAGGCCGCTAGAGACAGAGTAGCCTAACTGCTATTTTATGACTTGAGTTATTGATATTTTCATAGTCTAAAAATGTTAATCTACAAGAGCACAGTGGGCAAAAATTATGTAAATAGTTAATTGCACATTTTTATTTTCCTCATTATTGAAAATAATGATTTTTGTTATTAGGCCCCTCTGCCACTAGCAGCCTTATTTGTACTATTATTGTTATACTATATAGTTGTAACTTTGAGTATAATAACGCTAGGCTAGTTATCTTATCTTCATTTTTATTGCTCTTTAGATATTGATCTACATGTTTTTAATATTTATAAAATGTTTTTAACTTTAAGACAACTGAAAGACAAAATCAACTGATCATTTCAGCGTCATTTCGAAACACACCATTGTAAAAATCTATCTGTATTTATTTAAAAAATTACCTATATATAGGAAAACTTATGTAATGTTTGTGTAACCATAAGTAACTAAAACATATTTAAACTTACCCTCAGCATATGAACAAGTTCGTCTTTAGATATTCCTATCCTATCTCTATCTGCTGAGTCTACGACATATATTATTGCATCCGTATTGCCATAGTAACATCGCCAATAAGGCCTGCAAAACAAAGCAAAGTAATGTTACAGAAGAAAGTCTTCACTTATAGAACAATCTTGTACTGCATATTGATAAACAAATTTTGCGTCTATAATGATGGAAAAACAAAGACAAAAACTAACCTAATACTTGTCTGTCCTCCAAGATCCCACACTTGAAACTTGAGATTTTTATACGTTACTTGTTCTACGTTAAAGCCGATCGTTGGAATTGTCGTCACTACTTCACCAACTTGTAATTTGTACAATATTGTTGTTTTTCCGGCTCCGTCTAAACCTAGGATCAATATTCTCATTTCTCGAGCTCCTAATAAACCCCTGAAATAGCTGAAGAGACCGCCTGCAAGAATTTGACATATTTACAAGTTATATTCGTAAATAATTAGTATTTAATGACTGTAAACCTACATTACTTACCCATTTTTGGAGATAAGCTTTGCTTAATAAAACATTAAGTTTGGCTACAATTGTTTAATTTTGAACTCCCATGTATTGGAAATATAACCTTAATTGAAATAATATTTATTTTATAGTGCTGTATTCTGTAAATACATTTGGGAAACAATAATAACACAAAATTGGAAATTACAACCAAATAGTAGGTATTTGACGTGTAAGCAAATTGCAAGATTTTTGTAATGTTGCCATGTTTCCTAATTCCACAGCCGTTGTCAGAACCATAGTTTATATAAATATTTCTGGCTGACCACAGAGTGCAGTATTGAATTAACTGCAGATAATATTGTTGTACAGAATGAAAATTGTAAAGAAAAATTTGTTTTTATGTTAATTTCGTACTAATGCATAAATATTTTACAAATAATCTTTGATTTAAGAAAAAGATTTTAATACGTAATATTTTTATAATACCGTACATTTCTAATGAAATAAAGTTTAAATCTACTCTTTAACAGCGATACGCTGTTTTATTTGTTAATTATTTTGCAAAATAAAACAAGTTGCTGAATATTATAGTACATCCCTACATAAATTAGAAATCTATTAATATTGAAAAAAAAATTTATGTGGGGACTAGATCAAATAAAAAAACACTAATTATGAAATATTGCTGTATTTTCAGAAAAGAAATAAGAGAGTATTTACAAAATATATTATACATTACAATTCGAATTTTTAAATTAAAACACGATGCATTATTATATTAATTTTGTAAACTGCATATTGCATCTGTTTATAGATTTCAATTTATGATCGAAAAAGAGGATTGGCTGAACTCGTACACAGGTCATGTGAGGAATCTGGATTATAAATTATTTTATTACAATGTACATTATAAAAGATGAGATACCTGATAAATACGCGTGGAATTCCGGCGGTTTCCGTTGAGAAACGGCCAAGAATGTGTTACTCTTCATTCAGATATTAATTGTGGAATTCATTGCGCCTGATCTGTGTTCAGGGCAAATAATAGCTTTCTCAACACAATAATATTGCCATTACTAACGTTATTTGTGTCTTACAACAAACTGTAAACATCAAACATTTGAACATCGCAATTTTAAAAGGCGAATCTAAATATTATATTTAGTTCTTTGCAAACTGTAACTGCGCTACAGTTGAGAAGTCTCCGCTTTTATAAGAAAAGCAGTTTGAGACCTTTGACCACCACAATGGTCCAATGAGGTTGATGTTTCCTATAAATTGTGATGTTAACCCGAACTAACAAGTTATAATGCTAATAACAACACTTCTGTAAGTCCCGGGCTGGTAACCAGAAGATTAAATAGAAAATTCCAAAAAGGTAACGTTTCGCCCGCGTCGGGTGCAGTAACCAATAAATTAACAAGGCAGATAATACTTTCTTAAACATAATGCGCATGACTTGACTTTAGGATATCATCCATTGATAATATCACTACATAAAAAGACTTATTCTTTCAAACTGGTCATGGCATAACGTATCTATACTAATATGTTTTACAATGCTAAAGAGCTTGCATGTTTGAACGAGGTAATCTCAGGAATTACTGGTTCGAATTGAAACATTTGACGCGGACGACATCGAAAGTAATAGCTAAGATTTATAAAGATGAGAAGTATGCAAAAATAAATTTTTATACCCAAAATAACTATCCTAAGCGGTCGAAGTCGCGGTCACAGCTAGTAAGCCAATAAACTGCTATGAATGGATTTTATCTTTACTATGCAAAAATTTAACTGACGTAGATGGTAGTGACGTATGAAAAATTGTGTGAAAGAGGCAGTTAATGCTCCATCACCATGATTAGCCTCAAAGTCGCTTCACGTGGTCGTGATTCATTATTTACAATCCGCTGTTATATGCCGCATTTTAAAAATTTTATGAAGAGATTCCTTCGCGCTTACTGTAGTATATTATATTTAGAATGACGTTTTGACGACGCTGTGACGATTTGCGCTGAACAAACTACAGTTTTACGCAAATATAGCCCGGAAAAGTTAACGGATCTAGTCAAGGTCAGTTATCAGAATTATTTGGCCACCGGTGATCTATCATAGATAAGGTGTGTATTGTTGCCAAGGAATTGATCGATGACCTTAAGGGCCTGTCATTAACGGAAGCTTTACTTTTTATATTAAATTAAATAACGTTTGCAACACTATTTACTGTTAAGTATTTAACGATTGTTAGTGTAATACGTTTTAAATTTTAAATATGATTATCAATTCAAATTAAATAATGGTAATATATTGTTCAAAAATATATTTATAATTTAAAAATCGGAAATAAATTGAAAAAAATTTTCGACTCGGGCAGGACTTGAACCGGCATCTCAGTTCCGTGCTGTTACTTTATTTTCGATTTTTAAATTATATAGTGCCTTCATGTGCATTTTTGAGCAACTTCGGGATCCCGCAAAAACTAGTTTCCCTGGTTAAGGTCGCAACCGAGAGCAGCAGAATGCGTGTTAGAGTAGGAAGCGGACTATCAGAAGAATTCGTGGTGAAGACCGGCTTAAGACAAGGAGACGCGCTTCCCCAATCTTTCAACTTGCAAGAAATAATTCAGAATGTTTTGGCGCTGGATGTGGGTGTAAGGCTAAATGGACAGCATAGGGTAGTTGGATACCCATGATTTGGCTCTTCTAGCCAAACAAAGAAGAGGTGCAATGTCTGGCGAGAACCTTGATCTCCAAACTGAATTGGTTAGAATAAACCGAGAGAAAACGGAATACCTCCACATGAAAGCTATAAGGACAAAAGAAAGGCACTTGAGTACCTACATGTGGACGGTATCGCATTCAGGGGTACCAGTAAATTCAATACCTCCTGCACAATAAGAAAACTAAGGGAAGAGGAAATAAATATCGGATCAAAACCTCGTTTTCCCCCTTAAGGTGTTAAGTCAAATACTTACCCGGAAAAAAATCCGAATCTAAAGAGTATCCGTTATTTATGTAGGATGGAGAATGGACGTTGAGCTTAAGGAAGAGGAAAAGTTATGGTGGCCGAAAGGAGGATTTTACGGAAGATTCTTGGCCCACACAAAGGGAGGATGGAAGCTGGAGAATCAGGAAAAAGAGGAGATCGAAAACCTCTAAAGAACCAATATAATGGGGAAGCTAATCCCAAAAACTCCGCTGGGCTGGCCATTTGGAGAGAATGGGAGATGATCGGAGTGTCAAGAAAGCGTATATCGGAATTCCAACTGGCCGCCGACCTGTCGGCCGGCCAAGATATCGCTGGAAGGACGCCTAGAAGGACCTCCAGCTGTTAGCCAATGGCGAACAGCCGAAGGATCGGCAAAAATGGCGCTCTTTAGTTTCGGAGGCCAAGACTACTTTTCGCTGCCAGCGGAGTAAGTGAGTAAGTAAGTGTATGTGCATTAACATGTAAAAAATAATAAAGTTTTCAAATCTATTTATATTGGAAAACTTGAGGACACTTCCGGGACTTAAACCGGCATCCTCAGCGTGCCGTGCTGTTGCTCTAATCAATTGAGCTACCATGTCATCGTCGCAATTTTTCAAGCTATTGGTCCATTCAACTCTCGTTTGTCCCATTTTTGCTATAATCAGTTGAGTTACAGCTTAATAACACTGAAAATTTTTGATTAAAATTATTCTACTTTCCAAAAAAAAAAGATATAAAAGACGTTTTATGAATTTAGGGGTCTCTTGGACTAAGTATATTTTTGTAAACTTTTTATTGTATTTCTTAATTCGAAGGTCTAACTTAGATTATCTTAAGTTTAGACGGCTACAAAGGGAATATAGAAAAGTATCACTTATTTTAAAAATATACGAAGGTAGTAGTAGTAGTAGAAGTGGGCATTGTCCAAATAAGGTAAATTAACAGGCATTTCCGCGCGTCACTAACCGAGGCGCGAACGCACGTACTCAAAATTATTTTGGGCACGATCCGCCCGAATTAGCCCGCCCGTCTACATTTATTATGTGAAAAAGTAAACATACGATTTAATTTAGCCCCCGTTCTGAAATATACCGAGCTATTTGAACGGTTACGCATGCGCGTGGGCCATTGTGGCAGATTCATGTCCGCCATGTTTGTTTGCGTTGCGCAGAGAATTCGGACATGTTTGTTTTCTAACGTTCGATTTAGTGAAAATTCACTACGGACGCTGAAAGACTTGTTATTCTCAAATGTTCTTAGCGCATTCATTTTCTTTGTGAATTGATTTTTATTCGAGTTTCTTCGGTGATTGCACTTTTACCATATTGTATGCGTAAACATTAACGGTTTTTATACACTTTATTTAACGTATGGACTACGAAAAAATCTACCCGTTTAATTTAAATAAAACACTTTTAACCATAAAAAACGCGAAATATAATGGTTAACTAATTTACGACCCGATGTTTGGGATGCTTTGCACGTGGTCACGAGGGGACCGTTCCCCCACGACCATGGCTGCATTAAGCTACAAATAAGTAAAATATTATATTTCGTGTTTAATGAGCTACCTATTTAATTAATTAATTTAGTATTATTTGAATAACTATATTTTTTAATCTTTTGAAAGACAACAATCTTTTTATAAGACAGTCATAATATGACATATCGTCAAATAGGCTTATGATGGGATGTATCTTAATTACTTTAAGGTCCTTTTGTAGATCAATTCTTACACATCTCAACCTGTTCTTGTTTTAAAACACCATGGATTAAACATTCATTTATACAATCTTCACAAATCCTGCCGCGGGCTCAAAAAACTCCCGGAACATATTTCGATAGTTACTCATTTAACCAGACCCGAATTCCTGGTGAGTAAGTACAGTAAATACTCGTTCACGAAAACAATTTCGTGCTTCGCCCACGTCGCACCAACAAACAGCCCTCTAACAAGAAATAATTAATGTTTTATACATCCACAAACATCAGACCCTTTGATTTTTGAAATAACGGTAATTTAAAAGCTAATAAATTAGTGAGGAACACGTTTCACACGAAATTGTT